GTGAGAACCTGTACCTTTACACTGCATTATTATTATTATTATTATTATTATTATTATTATTGACAGTTTAGTTGCTTGCTAGGTTGGTGTCATTTCAGGCTTAGACATGAAAAGCTGCAGCACCAGTAAGGGAGAGCGAGCAGCCAGGCCAGCGCAGTTCCTCAGCAGCCACAGCAGGACATCTCGCTCCCTCCTGACCTGCCCACAGGTGGTGACTTGGTAAATGTTCCTCTCCTCTCCGCTCTCTCTGCACTGACAGAGTCAGTGCAGGCAGCCTGTATGGTTGCATTAACCTAGCAGCTGCACAGTGTTAACCTACTTACCGTTTGCTGCTTTGTGGTGCTGTATTATTAAAAATGCCTAACATCTGCGTAGAGTAGCATGGCTGCTTGGAAGCTGAGTACAGCAGAGATCATAAGCTGGTCTCCTGCCTTGTTCTACCTTCCTGGACAAACTTCATCACTTCTCAGTGCAGGGTTCACTGTGGATATTCTCATAGCTATGCCATGTGTCTTTTGGTCTAACAAGATGAAATCCTGTGAGGCAACCCCAGTTTAAATATTGCTGTGCTCCTCCCAGCCTGTCCCTGCCATGCGTTACTGTTTTTGCATCATAGCAACATCTTTCCTGGTGCCATAGCAGCTATTTGTATAGCCACTGTGTGCATGAATTAAAGAAATAAGTGTACTCGAAGCAAAGTTTCTTTCCACATTATGTTTAACCATTCCCTTATCTGCACCACAATGCACAGGAGCTCAAGTAATATCAGCAAGAGAGTGAGGAGAGAAGGGGGAAGAAGAGAAAGAGCAACAATACTCTAAACACTATTGCTAAAGACTTTGCTCTAGGAAATCACAGCCTCATTAGGTGTGGGGTCTAACAAGGAGTGGTTGAAGTGGATCTTTCTCAGCAGTCATCTTTACTCCTCTTGGGTGAGTTTGGGCGTACTTTTGTTGCTAGCTTGGTTACCAAGAGGGCTTTTTTAAAAAAATCTTTCTCATCCTCTATACTTTTGGATGTTTTCCTTCTTTTTCTAAAGGCTGATCTAAACGCTGCTTGCATTTACTGTACTTTTTACACACATAAGAGAAGGAAAGTTTTATCTCTGCCTGGCTGATACATACCTGTAAAAAAAAGCACTAAACCTTTTTCTTAGCCAAACTTTTATAACCAGAGTAACTCTAGGTTAACAGGCTGTAACTAAAGAATCAAATCCTACAGTAAAGTCTTTGGGCGCTGACTCAATCACAGCTATTTGCTGCTAGATTACTGACTCGGCTTCGGCCCTCAGCAAGGTATTCCTCTCGGAATTTGCTAATCCCCTGTCTACCCTGGTATAGTCAGTTAAATCACATTGGATTTTAACGTACCTTGGTACACCTTGAAAGCAGTGGGATTTGGTTTCCTAAGTGCTTCCCAACCCTTTCCATTAACAAGAGACCTTTAGAAACTGACTATTCTTAAACAGTGAAATTTAGAGTCTCTGTAGTTAATGTCCTAAAACTTTTCCTAAATTCCTCCTGTCTTCTGCCTGAAAAAAGGCTTCAAGCATTACATAGCTCTGAGGATTTTTAAAAACTGTGTCCCAGTGGAATGATCAGATCCTTAATTCAGGAAACTCCAACTCATTAAGAATTACTCAGAGTCACCTGAACATTTTGTACTGACAATCTAGCTAACATAATGTAATTCCCTTAGTCCTGTTCTGGCATGTATGGGACTCAGTGGAAAACTTGACAGAGTTTTTCTGGAGGTGTCTCTGATTTTGCTATTTCAAAGGCATAGTTACGTACAATCATCTCTTCTCTTTGTGTTTTTGATATTAATTCCTAGCAACAATGAGGAAAAATACCTTTGGAAGTCTATGAGTGATTCTTAGGTGAAAAGATGATTTCCTTTCTCTCTGTTCCTCCACATTTACAATTCTTGCATGTTTTCAGGGAGTAGCAAAGACAGAAATCATGACTAATGTTACCCAATATCCTGATACTTTTATCTTAGAGATTCTGCTCTAGAAACATACGTCTTTCTAGCCGTCTGTCTTGTAACTTCCTTAAGATACGTGCAGCTGTTCAAAATAAAAGTATAATCTAGGAAATCGGGTATGTAAGATTGCTTACCATATATTAAAAACAAGGATTCTAATGACAAACTATTTGAACACTTCTCGTGTAGGCTGTTGTATAACTTTTTATTATCATAATGATAAGACTGCTTTGTAGTATACTGAGTGATACAAAATGAATAACTAAATTTGTACAGCATATATTTCAGCCTTTGGTCTTTCAGTTACATCATTCTAATTACAATTCTAGTTCTAAACTCTTTATCAGCATCTGATAAATGCAGTCATGTTGCTACTGTACTTTTCCATTTGCATGCAGATGTTAGAAGGGAACTGATAATGATGTTTAAAGGTCATCCTAAAGTTTCGTTAGCTAAGACAAAACTTTAAAGGTTTCATCTTTATCATTTAGTCAGTACAGACGAGACAGGTTGGCAATATAAGGTATACATATAAACACTCTTCCTACCCCACAAAGTTTACAGTCGAAATAATAAACAGAGAAAATGAGACATACTCCGACATAGAGGAAGGAATTGCTTCTCTTTTTTGTCTATTGTTTGATACGTAATTTCTGAATTGAAAATGAAGTTAACTTTGCACTTTCAGTTCTTTTGTGAGATAAAGGAAAGGGCACCCACAGTGCAATGAAAGAGACTAAGAAATTCTCACAGATCAGATCGTGCCCTCGATGGCTGCTACACTCAGTGGAAGTCGTTGCAGCAGGGGAAAAGCCTCCTGTCTTTGGCATGTCGGATACCTTCAAATAAATCATATTTCTGCTAATGCTACACCTCCTCAAAACCTGCCAAATTACAAAACTACATTGGCACCAGTTATTCTATTCATTTTTGTTCCTAAAATATTCATAACATCACCTCTTTTATAAGAGAATGAGGAACATTAAGAATTCAAGAAGTTTTTTTTTTTTTCTAAAAAGCAGCAAGCTGCACTGGATATAAATAATGAGAAGTTTTCATATCAAAGAGATGCAGAAACACATACCTTGATTGCAAATGCACCACAGAGCAGGTACGAGTGAAGCGCAGTGCTTGCTAGTGAGCAGCCAAGCCCTTTCTGTTGTGTGAATGAGCCTAACTTCTGCTTTTCTGCCCCTCCCTGAAGAGAACAGACTCATCCCCTTTTGATGACATCACATTCCTGGATTTCTCTCTTACGATACTTTATTTCAAACCAAAGTTTGTCTGCTGTATCCAGGAAAATCAGCAATGTTTGACTATGGACGATAAATAATACAAATCAAGCTAAAATATTGATGTGCCACAGCATGTATATAAACAATCGTGTGTGTTTGCACAAGAGCCTTCAGAAATTTATCCATGCACTTACACAGAACTTTGATTGCTATTTTTTTGATGGTGATTTTTTTACAGTTGCTAGACACTATCAAAAGTTAGCTGGGTCAGCCTGTCATGCTGAGATCTTTAAAACAGAGCACATCAAATACCTCATTTACCATCTTAAATACCATCTTTAATGTGAGAAATCTGCTATTTATAGTTCTGCAAGGCAGACAGTGTTACTTTTCCTTGGCAGAAGTCTCTGTCCACTCAGCCTGCTGAGAACTAGCACAAGTTTCAGGTAAAACTTAAATACGACCAAAGTTTCTCCAAGGTCTTGAACCAGATAGCTGTACAAACCAGAAGTATTCTTAATACCACAAAAAAGAGTCATTTTTAATACCACAATAACTTTTTTCCCTTAGATTTGAGAAAATAAAAAATAGAGAACTCATGCTATTTTTCTGATAATATTTATGCAATTAAATCTGAAATGACAGCCATGGTTGCAGCATCCCACACAATGGATAAATTTGCAGTCAAATAGGGAACAGAGAGCAGACTTTCCTCTCTGACATACTGTCAAAATACTAATTCTGAAAATAAAAAATACAAGAAAACATTTGGAGCAATTTGTGCTATATAGAGAATATATATCTGTGTTGTATTTGTGTACACTGTGATCAGGCACGTATACCAGAAAAAAATACTTGGCCCCTGATGTCTATTGGTTCTTCAACTGCAGCACTGGAGCAATGTTTTCACTTTCAGCTTTTCCAATAAGCATAACTAATTCTTCTGAAGCTGTTGGAGCAGCTGTTCAGTGTGTTTTCTTTCATTGCTGCTATACTGCTACTAGTTAAATCATTGCTATCATTGCTTTTTCCTAAAATCCTTCTCTACCTGAATAAAACCTAGTATGCTGGAAACATTTTAGAACTCTTTTTGGGATTTCTTTCATTTTTGAACATGGAACTAGTCAAAACATTAAAACAATTTTGCAAATACAACAAAATTCTGCTTTCATTTTTAAATATCTTTTACTTATTTGTAGTATGGTGATAAGATCCAGCTCTCATGTGATCTACTCAGTTAAACCTGAGGAATGTGAACAACTTCTCAAAGAGCAGTTGAGGAATGTTCTGCAGTCTTTCAAGGGTGCTGAAGCAAACGTTGCAAGTAGGTAACCCAGTGTGGACACTTGTCAAAATGGGTCACAATCACATGAGCAATAGTCTTCAATCACATAGTCTTCAGAGTTTTAGAGAGGTTCCTCATGCTGCTAAGAAGGAACCACTACTGGTTCAGTTGTGTGAGGCAAGTAATAAATGCAAAACCCAGGCTTTGTCTGCAGTTCAGTTACTCAGGTGTTTGCAATACTTCTGCCAATATTCTGTTCAAATATAAGTATCAAGGTGATAAAATGCAGGTTATTCAATATTTTAACATAAAGCTGAAATAGCTTAGTCCTAAACAGATGAACAAAATTTTCTCCCCTGCCACATTCCAGTTTTGGGGAGGACTCTTTGTCTGGATGGCTGCAGGAGGTCACAGCTGGGAGCCATAATACCTAATCATGAAAGTTTTAATCACTCTCAGGTGGGCTACATGGGGAAATTCATGCTTGGTTAACATTCTCCCGGAAGCTGGAAGGGAATTTATCTGAATATTGGACTCTATTAATTCAGCACAACAAAGAGTGAGTAACAAGAAAATGGGGAAATGGGTTGCTGTGGTAATTATTTGGGGCTCTTTTTCCACCCATTACTTATTAGGGGAGAAAATCTTGCCTAGCAATATTGCCAGTTTGCAACTCTGAGGGACCTTGTGTGAGCAGGAATGCTCCTCTGGATGGAGCTCGCCTGTGCTCCAGACTGTATAAGAGAAACTGTGGTCAGAACATCTGCAGGTCTTGAAGTATCTGTACTTGTTTGCATGTTCAGCTCACTGACTCTTGGCAAAAGCTTTCCATGGAGCTAAGGCCGTGCATCTGATTTCCTCTCCACACTCAGTGTTTTGCCCAAGATTTAATGATAAAATCAGAGACTGAAGTGATATGGGTATCTTGTGTACGCTGATTACATTTCTTTTCTTTGCCCTGGACTGAGTCGGAAATTCTTAAATAAACTGTACTCAGACAGCTCTTTGCCACCAGTGAGGCCTGATGCATCATTTCTGTGTATCAGCTGCTTGCTGTGCCGTCAAGTGTAAACAACCCTCCTTTTTGGTCAAGTACATTTTTATGGAATGATAAGAACATCTTTTTCTTCTAAGAACATAATTTTTGTCTTCTAAGTGTTTCTGGCCATTTTGGAGGAGAAAAAAAAAAGAGAAATTGTTCTGTTTATTTTAAAATCTTATTCTTTAATCGAGATAGACATACTGTTTCCCTCCTAAAATTAAAGAAGTTTAATTTGCTTTGGTGGGGGAGGCATACCAAATCAAAGTTGAATTAATCAACATTGAGAGGCAGGTATATAAGACCATGTGCACAGGCTTTCAGAAATTTATTTTAAAAGCCTTCTCACGAGATGAAAGGTGAATGCAGGTGCACAGAATTTTAGCAGGGAAGCAAAGCCAGTGCTGCTGCTGGTGGTGTGTGTGTTGCTTACTTACCAGGGAAACACCCTTTTACTTTAAAAGCTGGTCCTCTAATGCATGATACCATACTGGTAAACAGAATTAGACCTCTTCTGTGCTGTGAGAGGGCAGCATTCTTAGTGGAACGAGTCAGGCAACGTCTCTGAGTATACACAGAGAAGATTTATTCCGTAATGGCATTCCTGCTGTAGTGCTCTCTTAGCAGAGAAACTATTTTTGCTTGGATAGATGGAGACTGAACCTGCAGTGGTTGAGCCCAAGCAAATGCAACTAGATTGAACCAAGGACGCGAGGGATCCTACTCTCCCAAAACTTTCATTAAGGCAATGCATGCTCTAACGGTGCTGATGGGATGAGAATGTCTGTCTTTAAGATGCAGAAGTTCTGTGTTTTTTCTACTTGACTAGAAGCACTGGAGCAAATATAGTTGTGACTGTAACTGTGGGCTCTGCTTCTTCCTTGGCAGTCGTTGCAGTTTAGCAACGTGCCCAGGGAAGGGCTTATTATCTTCCCAAGGAGCTGGCGGTCTGATGCTTTCCCCTGTGCCTCCCCACACAAGTGCCTTTTTATTGTGGAGGTGGATTTACCCCCTCACTAATGCCTCACGTACTTATTGAATTGGGGCTTCATAGCTTTTCGTGGTATTCAGAAACCAACTGTTGTAGCCCTGCATGCCTTTTTCCCCTTACTAACCAGATTACTTTATCTGATCAAAAACTGGAGAGTGTCTTTGCTAGTGCTAAGGATTAGCTCTGGCAGACCTCACAGCAGGATGTTACAGTTTAGCTTGTGCTTTTTGCTGTTTCCAGTCAAATGTTTCCTTTCCATTTCCTTCCCCGCCACGTTTCCTTTGTGGAGAATAGGTGGAATTGGTTATTATCACTTAGCACCAGGAAAAAGATTACTGTTTTTTTTGTTTGTTTGTTTGTTTTTTTCTCCCTCCCCTCCTCCCGTCTTCCCTTAACTAATCTCTCAGTTACTGAAACTTTCCTGTAAGCAGTGTTTCAGATATGGCTCAGATTAACCTCCTCCATTCAGGAAGGAAATGCTATTTTTTTTTTTTCCCCCCTCGCTGAAATCAAATTAAGCTTTTTTTCTTCAGTCTTAAGGGAAAGACTTGTGAGTTCCTCTATAAGCTGGACAGAACTTCTTGCAAGGAGGCACTGTCAGAACTTTAAGTATAGAGATACATCACATTCTGTATCCAGTTTTGCAAGCGTATAAACTATGCTGTCTGTTGCAAAAATATCCTTTTTCTAATGTAATTTACTTTGGACTAAACATTTCCCAAGTTAACTGCAGAAGTTCAACACTATTTCACTTTCAAATGTAGAGTAAGGAGACGTATCTGCAGTTACATTGGCATTTGTTGAAAAGGGGCAATGTATGCTATGTTTTCCACGAACTCTTCTGAGGTTTTCAGGTGGCCTCTTTTTTTTTAGCTGTTTTTTACTGTTCCATTATATTTAATTAATAGCGGCATATTGCAAACACAGGCATCAGGGTCTATTTGGTGTATGTTGTGCAACCATGCAATAGGTACTTAAGATACTCTACAACAGTTATCTCTAAAAATTGTTATGATAAGTCAATAGCACTGGTTACTAATGCCCCAAATATGAGCAGAGGGGGAGTAGCTGTGCAATGTGCTGCTGCTTCTTTTTGCACCAAGGTAAGGGTAAGGCTGAAGCAACATGGTACAGGAGTGAGGATGGTAGGTTTGGCACGGGGTGGATGAGGAGACACTCATGTGCTCTGTGACTCCTTTCCGTCTCTGGTCCCTGCAGATCATAATGTGAAGAAGTCTATTCCTCATATACTTAACAAATGAAGGAACTCCTGCACAAACTCAAAAATATTTCTATGAAAACCTGCCAAAACAGACTGTTGAGATTCCAGTTGAGATGCTGTGATGATGGAACTGTTCATATTTTAAAAGCTAATGGCCTTTCAGTCAAAAGCAGCCATAGACCTCGGGGGCAATATATTCTGCTTATGTCTTGAATCTTTCATATGAAAGCTCTACTGATTTTTCACAGATCTGATGAACCACAGATGTGCTGAGATAACTCCGATCCCCTAAGGCAATCCTTGTATACATTCATTACACAGATCCCTATGTGATCAACTGGAAGGAAATTCATATTCAGGTGCAATATTTTGTCATTAGCTTACCTGCACTTCCAGTAATATTGATATACTTGTAGTATGCGCTGTGAATTAGCTGGCAATTTGTCTGTGTAAAGTTTTTCATATGTGCCTTGCCCTGATATATATACAGTATGTATGTACTGTTATTGTCATCTGTAGCAATATTTTAGCCAATTCCTGGCAGCACATCCTCCCATCAACATCAATCACTGCAACTACATGGAATTTAATAGGACTGCATGGTAGCTGCTGCTTGGAGGTAGGCAGAGGAAATATGGTTTAGCTGAAAAGTACTTGTTCCCTTCCTCAGGCTTTGAAATTATGTGGAAAGGTGACAGTTGAGTAGAAGGCCATTTGCCTCCTAGTCAGTGCAAGTTTCTGAACTTCTCTACAGTGCCATGCACTGATCCATCAGATGATGAAAGGATGCAGATCTTCTTACTGTCTCTTAAGAAAGAGATGTATCTGACAGAGTTAAAGCTTAAAGTATGAAATATGTTCCAATCCCAGGCAGGCAGACTAGGGACAGTTGCTGCTAAAGCCAACCTCCGAATGTACTGTCTTGTGCTTTTACAGGTGAAAAGACATGGACCTTTTTATTCTTGTTTTGCTTTAAAATGCATTATACCTCATGGTAAAAAGATAATTCATGACCATAGGAGCTTCCTATGTAAGAGGAGAGACTTTTTATTTTTAGATATGGAGAGAAATTACCATGCAAAGTGTAGCATTGGGATTCTCCCTGAGGCTTATGCTGCACTTCCACACTTCATGTTGTGGGACATGTGGTACTTTTTTTATTGTCATACCTACCAAGCATTAATATAAACCGTGAATTGTAGAGGATTCTTACAGCATTTTCAATTGTGTTTGCTTAGTGCAGGAGTTAAAAACGAATTTAAAAAAAGCTTTCCTGGAAGCATCTAACTGATTTCTGCTAAAATGAAGTGTGGAGGATGGGAAGACTAGGCACTTCCTTGAGCAAGAAAAGTGTGGTTTCTGGGAGCAGAATGGTGGCGAGTGGCTTGAGGACAGCAGCTGTGCATCGCCATAGGCAGACCTGGGTGCTGTATATGGGGAACTTGAGAACAGCTTGGACCTTTCCTGGGGCAATGCACTCGTCATACAAAATGGGTTAAAAAGCTGTGTTCACCATTATATAGCCATTCTCACTCTGAAGTTAGGAGATACTATAGATATCAAATCTTTGCAACTAAATTCAAGAATAATAACTCCAAGTAGTTATGTGGAAATTCTTGCTTTTTGGGAGCAGGTTCTTGTTGCTGTTAGCGGTGTTTTGTTTTGTTTTGAATTCTCATATAGTGCCAAATGGCTGGCAGTGACTAATTCCTGTTACAGCTGGCAATATTTCTGACCTCTTCTTGGAAACCAGCAGTATTCTCAATGCTAGGTAATCCCTGCAATAAGGTTCTTGACTTCCTTCCTTCCGCTTGTTTATTGCCCCCTGGATGAGGGTAGAAAAAAGGACATGAGTCCATTGGATTGTACAAATCAGTGTAGCAAAACAGTGAGATTGTAGAGAAGGGGGAAGTTATTTCTAGTTGTTTCCTCTGTCATGCTCCCATAGCTCCATACGTGTGTCAGAGTAGTTGGAATGGGATTACATGTGGTGGATGAGGAACGGTGGCTGCTTGGCCTCTGCCGCTGCTTCTAGGTTCCTCCTGTTTAACAACAGGATGATCTGGGTTTGTAGATGCCACTTATACCTGAAAGAGACAGCAGGTATGTCCTTTCATTTAAAGTTCTTTTTTCTTCTGCTTCACCTGTGAAGCAAAGTTGCCGTGTGTTTTGCTTTCTCTTTTGAGGCATCTTCTGGCTACAGCCTGTCTTCCTGTTGGAATAACAGGAAATAAATAGCATCAACATGGGGCCCTAACTTGGTTGCCATCCCTTTGGTATCAAAGCACAGGCCTTCAGCCGATGAGT